GCATGATAGATTCTACTACTTAAAATGTCTAGGGCATAATTGAAGATGACTTTACTAAGAGCCAGGAAAATCAAGACTTGAATGAGAAAAGTCAATCAACAAACACTAATTGAGAGTTAAACAGTTGTTGGAATTACCTGGAAAAGATTTTAAAGCAACAATCATAAAAGTACTTCCATAACTAATTATAAATTCTCTTACAATAAATTAAAAACATAGGAAATTTCAGCAAGGAAGTAAAAGTAATAAAAAACAAATGAAAATTAAAAAACTAAAAAATATAATAACCAAAATAATAGTCTCCCTAGGTGAGACTCTCCAGCAGAACACCATTTAATAGCAGAATATATATGACAGAGGATTGAATCAATGAAGTCAAGGACAAATCAAGAATTCACACGATCTGAACAACAGAGAAAAAAACAGACCAGGGGAAAAAATGAACAGACTCATTGAGATTTGTGGGACAATAGCAAGAACTAACATTTGTATTTTCAAAACCAATAGAAGAGGAGGACCAAGGTGAAACTGAAAAATATTTGAAGGCATAATGTCTGAAAACATTCCAAGTTGCACTCCCCCCAAAAAATAAAAAAAAACAATCCCATAAACCTACAAATTTAAGGAGATGAGTAAATCTCTCAGTTCAGATAAATGAAAATAACTTACAGTAAGACATATCAAAATTAAACTTATGAACAAAAAAGAAAAAGTCTTCAGAGAAGCCAGAGGGAACACACATTACTCTTAGAGGAACATGAGCTCTAGTGACAGCAGTCATCGGATACCAGGAGGTTAGCAGGAAGTGGCAAACCATTTTTCAAGTACCAAAAGAAAAGAACTGTCAACAGCAATTTCATATCTGGTGAAAACATCCTTCAGGAATGAAAGGGAAATCAAGACAAACTCAGGTGATGGAAAACTAAGAGAATGTGTTGCTAGCAAACTCATCCTTAAAGAATAGCTTAAGGAAATTTTCTAAACAGAATGAATATGATAATGAAAGAAATGTTAAAACTTCAGAAAGAAAAACAGAACATTGGAATGCATAAAACTAAGGGTAAATTAAATAAACTCTCCTACTTCCCTTGAGTTTCTTAAATCATATCTGATGCTTGAAGCAAAAGTTATAACACTAGCTGATACAGTGTTCAGTAGATAGAGAGGAAATGCTTAACACAATTACATTTAAAAAGTGGAGCAGGTAAAGGAACCTGAATGGGATTTCCTAAACATCATTCAGAGCAGTAAGTTATATTTATATATTTTAATAGTTACATAACCACTAAGAAAACTTTATAAAACTAGTTACTGAAAATTTCTAGGAATAAATCACTATGTAGTCTTTAAAAATGTTTAAATAACTTATAGGGAGATAAGAAAAGAGAAACAGAGAAACCAATTCCTGTCGTCCACAAGTACTGCTGGTTGAAATTTAAAATGGCACATCCACTATGGGAATAAATTGGCAGGTTTTTTTTTTTTATAAATCTAAACATACACTTAAATAAAACCCATGAAATGCACTCTTAGTTGTTTTACAAGATTTGAAGATTCCGCTGATGGCAGAACACAACACATTGACTATGGAAAGAATGAATAGCAGAGTCTTTGTTGCTATGACTCCAAAGGAGGTCAGGCACCAGCAGGTTCATGAAAGGAGATGCAAGGTAGGGGTAATCACAAGCTAGAACCACGGAGGTCAACTTATATATGGCAAGGATTAACAAGGTTTCTCAGGCAGCAGGTGGATTGGCTAATTTGAGTAACTCAGGGGGCTCTATGGTATAAGGGCTCTCGGTAGTTATTGGTGCTAGCTAGTCCCAGAACATTAGGGCTGGTGGAGACCAGTCGTGGGGTGGGAGAACCCCACAAGAGAATGTGAACTTATTAGTTGCTTAAGAAAGTGAACCAGGCTGACCTCTAACCAGAGCCTTAAAAGTGGATTAAAATAGTACTTAAAAAAAAAAAAACACAAAAACAAGCAAACTATTTCCTAAGCATTTATTCTCATAGAAATGAAAATTTATGTTCACAGAAAAACCAGTACATGAACATTCATAGCATTTTTATTCATAACCACCAAAAACTGGAGAAGCCTGAGTGTCCCTGGATTGGATAATGAATAATTAAACTGAGGTACATACACAGTGAGGAATACTACTCAGCAATAAAAAGAAATGAAACATTGATACACACAGCAACTTAAATGAATCCGCAGGGCATTATAGTGATGAAGATTCAATCTCAAAAGGTCGTATACTGTATAATTCCATTAATATAAAATTATTAAAATGACAAAATTACGGGAATGGAGAACACCGAGTTTGTTAGGGGTCAGTGAAATAGGGGTGAGAACAGAGGTGGGTGTGATAATAAAGTGCTACTCAGGGATCCTTAAAGTGATGAAAAGACTATGTAACTGGACTTGATGTCAGTATCCTGGTTGTAATGTTATAATGTAGTTTTATAGACTGTCACCATTTGGGGAAATTAGGTAAAGGTACAAGGATTCTGCTGTATTTTTTTCTCTAACTGCATGTGAATCTGAAATTGTCTCAAAATAAAAAGGTTAATTTTAAAATGATTTATTGAATGGAGGGAGGATGGAATGCTCAGGGGATTGGGCCTCCAACCCATGCATTGAACTTAATTTGTGAAGTGACATTTCCAGAGGCATCAGAAGGGAATGTGAAGGAATTTTACCTCTTCCAGAAGACTCTCTTTTTCCCTTGGCAGCAAAAGGGGCTGGAGTCTTGCTTTTGTGGCTTCTCTGGGTGTGCGGGGGGGAAAAAGGGAAAAATAGTAATTATGATTTCTACTTTCAAATAGCTTTGAAATCTCTATAGCACCACCCTCTTTTCATTCTGTTGAGTTGGACTCAGCACATTCATAAGCAGAGTAGAAAGTCCATAGAGGCTTAGAGGGAGTTAGAGGGGCAAATTGTCGCCTTTAAAGATCATTAGAAAAGGTTTTACTTCCATTGGTGAGAAGATTTCCAAAAGGAAACCACTCTGGGAACTGTTTTCCTAACTGCATTCAGGATAGCCAGGTAGTAAGAGCTTTAAGACAGTGCTCAGCTTGGAAATGATGCAGCTATTTCCTACTCCTTTCTGAGGGTCGTGTATGCAAAATTAATTGTGTTATTACTATTCCAAAACAACTGAGTCTCTGTGAGTGTATCTTGGTTAGTTAGGAGTATGCAAACCTTTTGAAGATCCTGAAGAGCAATGCAGTGTCTAGGAGGCTGTAGTCAACATTGCCTGATGTTTCGAGAATCAGTTGTGGGCTTTTGTTTTGGCTCTACTACTTCATGGTTGTATAACTTTTTGTTACCACACCATCCCCACTAGCCAAGCCCTCATAGTCCTTTGCCATAAACCATTAGGCCCCTCCCCCTTGTCTCACCCTGATCTTCCCTTTTCCTTTAGTAGCCTCAATTCTGCAATCATATTTTTGGGGTATATTTTGGTTAAGTTTTATCAGTACCTTTGTTTTGTTTCTTTGTGTTCTACATATGGGCAAAATCATCCAGTATCGAGATACATTTGATCTCTGCTTCTAACTAGCAGTGTGAATTCTAGAAAACCACTTCCCTCTCCAGACCCCTGTTTCCTCATCTAGAATCTTAGTATGTCAGAGTAGATGTTAAATAAAGCATCTTCCATTTTTCATCTTGGATTCTCAGGTGAACTCATCAAAGGGAAAATAATAAAAAATAGCATGATGATGAGTAATGTGGGCCATGGACTCTTCTAGGCCTAGATTTGAGCCCTGTCTCTGTTCTGTGATGAATCCCACTCATGGTCAAACCATTGGTATTCCTAACAGGAGTGACTTTTGTTTGAGATGGCACCCTGTGCTTCCCCGCCTGACCACCATACTGAATTACAGTGATGCTCCTGGGCCTGGTTCACTGGTTCCCTTGTTGCTACAAAAAGAGGGAGTAGGATTCTTGATAGACATCACTGAGCTGCCATACTACTTAGTCCTGGACTTCCTACCTCTAATTTTTTGTTATATAAAAAAACACTCCTATTTTAAGAAATCTTTTAAAACCATCTACTCTTGTCATTGCTTATTACTCAATACAGTCTATTATAACTTTTTTACAATTTGGGAAACTTTGAACAAATTATTTAACTTTTCCAAACCTCAGATTTCTTACCTTTTCTCACATTTGGTTAGGAGAATTAAATTAGATGATAAATATAAAGTTTTTGCTCAATTACTGAGATTGAATGAATAAATAACTGAAGGTTATTTTTATTTCTTGATGAATCAATACAAAATACTAAATCAATGCTAAAAAAAGTAACTTAAATTTTGTATTAGTCTGTCTACAAAGGCATATATTTACCAAATTAAACACCTTTTGCAAAAATAATGTGTTATTTAGGCATGTTTTGACAACCAGAACATGTGTTTCTATTGCAAACAAAAATATTTCCAGTTTAGAAATACTTGTTTTGATCATAGTGCTGAAATGAATATTTTGTATTTGAGTTGTTAAGCTACGCTGCGTATTGGCTAAATGCTTTTGCAAATATATTTGTCCATTGCTTAGAATATTGCCTTGGAGAAGTACCCAGTGGCAATTATGTTCTTAGGCAAGGTTTACAGTTTATAACCCAGAACAGATCTAACCTTTTGAAAAGATAGGGCATGGCAGCTGGGACAGACAGCTTGGTTACTTTCAGTGTGATGTTCCACATTTCTCCTCATGACTGATATTATTTCCAGTGCTGGCTGGCTGAACATTTACACATGACGATTACCATGAATCCAGAATTAAATGACATTTTATAGTTACATCTCAAGCATCACACAATATTGATTTTTTTTTTTACCGTAACATAATCTTTTTTTCCCACTGAGGACCATGAAAATAATGGCATATATTGCCAAAATTTTAATAATTCATCTGAGGCTTACTGTTATGTTCAATGATAGTTACAAGGGTTTATCTTTTTATAATTCTCATCTTGTTTCTCTTTCAGATTTTATATGTAGTAAATGAAAAAGTAAGCCCACTGGATACCCTGTCTTTTGCTGGCATTTAGGATAAAGAGAAGCCTAATAAATCACACATCAAGCAACCCTACCAATATTGAATTATGAGATCATAGTATAACTTTTACAGATAAGTCACCATGCTAACGTCACACAGTCAATCTTGTTTAGAAGGTAGGAAGCAATTCTTCTTTTTTAAGATTCCACATTAGTTTTAATTCCATATAACATTATACTAATATTTTTCAAGTTGATTATATTCTCCACTGCAAGGTCAAGATAAACTTTACATTAATAAAAGCCATATGACTTGTCTTTTCAGTTCCAGAAAAAATTAATTTAAAAGTAATACTTTGCATTTATATAACACCTTTCATAATGTATAGTCTCAAAACACTTCAGAAACAAATACACTAATATTTTAGCCTGGATTTACAGGCAATTCACTGGGCTAATGTTTCTTTAAATGACTCTGTGACCCACAGTAAATATTCAAATATAGTATGTTTGTCCTTGTAAGATGATTTTGTTCTCAAGGAAAATTATTTGGATGCATATTTCTTTAACTTATGATAGGAAAATACTCATTTCTTTTTCTTACCATTTAGCAGGATATTCACCAGTTTCTTTCAGGTAGTCACACTGATGTTTCATACTTTAGCATTACCTTTTAAATTCAAATGTCATGAAAATCGATTAGAGTTTTTGAATTTCAGACTTGTGAGGAACCAAAAACAACTCAAAATGTTCTTATATTGTATGATTATTTAAAGCAGGATAAAAATGCTATAGAACAAAAATATCTTATTATAGGAAGAAGTCAGGGTGCCCCTTGAGGTACAAGATGAATTAAATACATGAATAATTTTAGAAAAATAATTTATAAAATCACAGATTATATATATGTCCTACTAAACTATATAATATATTAACATAGAGATATACCATATTATTTCTTTAGGATATTAATAAGTTACTATTTTTTACAATTAACAGAATTCCGACATTACTTTAATTGCTACTTTAAAGTAATGCTGATTTGTTTATAGACTACACACCAAACATATATATATATACATATATATATATATATGCCCCAAATTTGTACTTCTTTATATTTTTTTCTGAACCTAATTTCTCGTTTAGTAATTTCCCCTTTTTTGTATGAGAAAATATCCTTACTATTACAAATAGTAAGGAAAATATCCTTATTATTACAAGTCCATGCGTTGCCTCTTACCTTATGTAGATGTGAATATTCTTACAAAATCAGAAATACAATACATGGAGAAATGCACTACCAATACATTAAGTATTTGAGCTAAATATATTTAATTAACTAAGATTTATATCATGTATATTTTTTATTTTCCTTATATAATGTGTTAATCTGAGTAATACAAATTCCTGAAAGTAAACGAGAACTAAATATGATTCAGTAGCCAGCATATCAGTGGGAAACATTGAAAAAGACGATCATTAACACACCCAGAAGACTCCACTGAAGTTGCCTTCTTTTCAGTCTTCAATGACAACCCAGTTATCAAAGCTAATGGGAAATTTACATTTTTACATTATTTTGCCTTTTGCAGTATTTGGAGCTGTTATGACTTTCAGCTTCTTGACATATCTCTTTTTTGCCTTCCTCATCACTCACTATTTCTCCTTTTGTTCCTCTTAACTGCTTTTTTTTAGATTTTATATATTTTTATGTAGAAGAACTGGGGTATAGGCCAGAGGTGGGGAGGGGTAAGAGGATTCACCAGAGACAAAGTGGGGAGCAGAACAGGCAGATCCACTGACATACACTTCTGAGAGGAGCAGCGGGAGAGACAGGAGAGGTCCGCTGCGCCATGTGGGTAGCTCCCTGGCCAGGATCAAACTCAGGCCTTTGCAGTGGTAATGCTGAGACTTAACTTCTAGGTCACAAGGGAGGCCTCTACTTTTTTACCTTGCTGTCAAAGCATTGGTTTTCTTATACATTCTTTGTTTGATCCTCTTTGTTTTCTATCATTCAAAATAATCTCTCTGGGTGATTTCTTCTTGCTCCCATGTCTTAAACTGCTTCTTAGGAGCGATACCCTTCCAACTGACAGCCTATGCTCCTTTCTCTGCCTTGAAATTCTCACTTAACATCTGCCATTTATTGTTGTCTTGGTTCAAATGATGCTCCTCTGTATGATCTTAACCATCATTGTCCCCATCATATCCCTCTTTTACCAATTGTATCACGTGTGTTTGCTGGGTCCTGCCCCCTTAGGGGTACGCTGCACATACAGAGAGCACTAACACAGTGATTGGTGATTGATCAAATGATTGGGTGGATCACTGACCAAAGGTGATCAAAAATCCTACCTCAGCAAATAATTCTCATTCTCCCTACTCAGGACTTGGTGAATATTCTCTAAAAGATATAGCTCAATTTTCTCATTCTCATAGAGCTTTCTTTTTTCCTTTGCATCATCATCAATATTTTACTCAAAAAACAACAGTAATTACTGTCTAAATTTTGAATCCTTTTGTAAGTTCTAACTTTTAAAACAATGTTAAGGAAATTAAAGAATGAAATAATATATTTAATTAGTTTCTAAGTTATTGATTCTCTAATTATTATATTTAAAAGTATGTTGGATTTGGAGACTAAAATATAATTATAAGAAAGTAAGTCGCTGGACCAGAACAGTATTTCATTGTCTTAGACTCCCTAGGGTGTCTAACACTAGTAACTAGGAGATTTCAAATATTTACCCTTGTAATTCCTTCAAGAAAACATAAGTAACATGGTATGTGAGACAAATTTACTTTGCATATAGAAGAGCAGTGCTGAGTGAAGCTTTAGTTTAGAAATCCTTTGAAGACATTAAAAGGGATAAACTGTCAAGTTCTTAAGTATAAGAACTGGAATGTGAAAGAAATCATTTATTTTCTATGTTTTCTTCTCTAGCTGTCTTTGACAACTTTTTTATTTTTTTTATTTTAAAGATTTATTTATTTATGCATACAAGAACTGGGGTATAGGCCAGACGTGAGTGTGTGTGAGGTAAGAGGATTCATGAGAGACTGAGTGGGGAGCAGAAAAGGAAGATCTACTGAGATACACTGCTGAGGGGAGTAACAAGGAGAGTCAGGAGAGGTCTGCTGTGCCATGTGGGTAGCTCCCTAGCCAGGATCGAAGTTGTGCTGCAGTGGCTGTAGATAGCTTCATAGATTGTATCTTAAACCCTTCCACCACCAGGGAGGCCCTGTGTTTGACAATTACTTATAATAAAACCAGATACAGTGAATGAAAAGAATGTCAACCATTCTGTGCTAGGCATTTTTCCTACTACCTTTGGAAAATAATGATAATAATTATGTGCAGGGCTATGATTTTTAAATTGTGTGTCTGCTAATTGTAAGAAAAGCCCAGATATTGAAATTTGTGTAGTGCTAATTACTTATCCCTGTTTCTCCCACTGTAATTTACAGTGTGTCTTTAGGATGTCAGCTGCCGATTTGGAGCTTCTGCCTCTGCTTTTTTTCTGAGCAATTTGGTTTCGTCTTCAACTAATGGAATCGAGCAATGTTTGGCTAACAATATGGAGAACCTCCCTCCCTCATTAAAAGTTGACATGAAATCTTAAAATAGGTTTCCTGCTTTTTGTTCCTAAGGCTATGTGATATTACCATACTTCTAATTCTCCCTTTTTCTTAAATTATTGTCTTCTTCCTCTTTGCTCTGTACAATTCTTTGACCATCTATCTCCATCTCAGAGTCATTATCTTTTGCCCTAAGCAAAAAGAAAGAGGTACTTGTTTTTGCTTCTAAACTTGATGTACAGTTCATGCTTTATCTTTTACTTCTCACTTTACTCCTGTAGTAGGTTTTTCTGTTGTTATTGTTCCTCCGGCATTTTTGTGCGTTAATGATCCTTGAATCTTATTTTGCTGATCATCAATCTATAAAAGAGAAAGAGACTGTTATAAGAATCTTCTTGACTCATGCTTCTGGAAATATGGAGTATGTATTGCCCCCATTCCTCCTTTTTACATACAGCTAAAAACCCTGAACATCATATGTGAAAATCTCAGAAGACTGAAAGTTGGAGAACAGAAGGCAGACTGCCTAGGGACATTGGGGCTCAATTAATGACACAGTGATTGGTTCCCTGAGCTTTCTATTTGCTCAGATATCTTGAAATGGATGCCAGAGGCAAAAGCCCAGATGCCAATGGGGATCAGAGCAGGAATCCTCCACGAAACTCTTCCTTTTCAAGCAAAAGGACCACAAAAGGGGCAATCGATTGAATAGTAAGACAGAAAGCTTTTAGACAGTAAACACTTTACTCCAACCAGAGATACAAAAAAAAAACCCTGGGGCCACACTTACAAACCCCACCAGGAAAGGCCAAGTGGAGAGCCTAGACTTCCAATCTTCCTAGGTTGTAACAAGATGCCTACTGGAGTGGTTAAAAAGAGACTGAGTGTGTAGCACAGATTTACATGCCCTATGAGTTATAATGAAGTCCTCCCTATTTTCAGTAATACATTAAAAAGAATTATACTTCATGACTACATGGGATTTAATCCAGTTATGCAAGGCTGATTCAGTATTCAAAAATTAATCAATGCAATGAAACATATTAACTAACAATCTGAAGAGAAAAAGTCATATTAATTGATGTAGAAAAATTATCTGAAAAAACTCAAATCCCAATTTTGATTGAAAGAATAACAGTAAATTAGGAATAGAGAGAACTTCCTCCACTTGAGAAATAGCATGTGTGTAAGGTATACTTATAGCTGACATCATAATTAATGGTGATGTACGGGCCACTTCCTTCTAGGGCTGGACACAAGGTAATGATTCCACTCTTATCACCCAGTTCTTGCTACTCTTATTCAATGTAGTAATGGAATATCTAGCAGGCTCAGAAATAAAAGATTGAAAGGGAAAAAAATATCTGTCCCTATATACAGTTTACATGATGGCTTCTCTGGAAAAATCCCAAGGAGTCTTTTTTTTTTTTTAAGCATCATAGTTTAGCAAGGTCAAAGGATGTAAGATCAACATGATAATCAAATGCATTTCTGTATAGTAGTGATGAATATATGGAAATTGAAATTAAAGTACAATACCTTTTATAATTATTTAAACAAGGAAATAATTCAGTGTAAATCTAACAAACATATTCAAGGCCTGGGACTGAAAACTAAAAAATACAAGAGAAATAAAATACCCAATATTTTGGAGCTCTTAAAAATTTGTAGATTGAAAGAAGTCAATTTTCCCCAAATCAACATGTAGGTTTAATGCAATTCCTACCAATATCATGCAGAAATTTTTTTGTAGGTATAGAAAATATTGTTCTAAAATGTGCATAAAAACAAAGGTGCTAGACTAGCTGAGACAATTTTGAAAAAAAAAAAGGAGGATTCTCCCTACCCAATTTGAATTTTCACTATATAGATAAATGAATAAAAACTCTATAGTATAGGATAGACTCTATGGTATAGGATAGACACATAGATCAGTGGAACATAATAGGGAACCCAGAAATAGAACCACACAAGTACAGCCAACTGATTTCTGACAAAGATACAAAAGCAGTTCAATGGAGGAAGAATTGTCTTTTCAATATATGGTGCTGGGATGATTGAACATTTATAGGCCAAAAAGTAAACCTTCACCTGGACCCTCATACAAAAATTAACTCAAATGTGTTGAATTAAATGTTAAATGTAAAAGTATTAAACTTTCAGAAGAAAACCTAGAAAAATCTCTGGGGTTTGGTGTAGAGTTCTTAGATATGACACTAAATGATAACAGAAAATGATAACATCAATAAATTGGAATTCATCAAAATTTAAAACTTTTGCTTTGCAAAATATTCCATTCATGGAATGAAAAGACACCCATAGGCTTTAAAACATTATTTGTGTGTCACGTATTTGAGAGTGCATTCATGTCTAGAATACATAGGAATACACAGAGAACTCTCAAACTCTGCAAAAAAAAAAAAAAAATCTAATTAGAAAATAGGCCAAAGACAAGACATTTCATGAAAAAGTATATACGGATGGTAAATAAGCTCCACTGGAAATTAGTTTTGCCGTTTCTTAAAAAAAAAAAAAAAAATGGAGAAAAAAGCTAAGGATACACAGATGAGAAGACTTAACAATGCTCTTTCTAGCATTCATCTCAGAGAAATGAAAACCTTTGTCTACACAAAATGTGCACTTGAATGCATACCATAGAATACCATTCAGCATCATGAAGGAAAGAACCATTAACAATTCAACAATTTGGATGGATCCCAGGGGAATTATCCTGAATGGAAAAAACCAAAAGGCTATCTAGTGTATGATTCTGGTCATATAACGTTTGTCATTGAAATGACAAAATTACATTTTTTTTGATTGATTTATTTATTTATACAAGAACTGGGTACAGTCAGAAGCGTGGGAGGGTGAGACAATTCACCAGAGCCAGAGCGGGGAACAGAACAGGCAGAGTGACGAAATACACTGCTGAGGGGAGCAGTGGGAGCGGCAGGAGAGGTCTGTCGTGCCATGTGGGACCCTCGCCGGTGCCCAAGGATAGAACCGGCACTGCAGAGGCTGTGGGCAGCTTTGCAGCCCAGAGCTCAACCACTGTGCCTCCAGGGGAGGCCCCAAAATTACATTCTTGAAGAATCAATCAATGGGTGACCGCTTAGGAAGAGTGAGAGGAATGAGGTAGATATGTCTGTTATGGGGTAGTGTTATGGAGACCTTTATGCTGCTGGAGTAGTTCTGTATCTTGATTGTAGTTGTAGGGAAGCCAGCTGACCTATGCCCACCCCTGATACCAGTGTCACTTTTCTGTTTTCCATTGCTCTATATTTACTCGAAGTGCATCCTTTAGGCAAATCTGGGTGAAGGATACATGGTTGTTCTCAGTATCATCTCTCCAATATTCCATTATTTCAAAATAAATTTTTATAAACAAAGAGATGCCTCAGATATCCCTTTGGCAAACATTTTCCCATTTTTAAAAAAACTTGTCATTGGTTTGGTAAGTGGTTTGTTTTAGTTGTCTTCCTATTGATTGTGTTATAGTTTTGTTTGTTTACTTGAATAAGTGATTCCCTGTTTTTAAAGTAAGATCTTTGTTTTGAAATTAGGCTTTTGAAAAACTTTTCTTAACTGCATTGTGAGATAAACTAACCTTCTGATATCAAAGGAGAAATTGGCTTACCAGATCTTATGTAGTCTTGCAACTCTGGGCCCTCTCCTTCCGGTGTTTGTCTTCAGGACCCCGGTGCTGAGCTCTGTGGCAAACACAAGGGAGCAGCACCTGTACCATGTGCCCCAGGACTCTAATGTGCTCTTTGTTGTATTTTTTTTATCATCTGATGAATATTTTGAATTATTTATCTATTTTATTTGACTGTGTAGAGAAAGAAATCAGAGATTTTCTTGAAACTCATTAAACATCTCTTATTCAACTTTCGATATTGCGTGTAACAACTTTTACATTTTAAACCCTTTCAGGACATGTAGAGGTTCGATGTCTTTCGTTTTTAAATGACTGAGTCTGAGTTACTTAAAGCTACATATGCTGCAATTCATTGTTCCATCGTTTCTCATGTAGGCATTTTGTTTTCCTACCTGGATTTTTTATAGAGGGGTCTTGTGAAAGACCTTTGTATTCTTCAGAAAGATTAGCTTAATGCAAGATCATCACATACTGGACTCACAATAACTTTTTTGTTCACTGGTTTTTCAGTTAATGCATGCTCTTTTAATGTGACTAGAAAAAAAAATCCTTTGCCCAAATCTGATTGTTTTTTTATTAAAGTTCTCATGTTGGAGTTAATAACAACAGTGATCTGGTTGGATAATTCTGATATAATAATAAGCTGTTTAAGGAAATTCTGTCTTCTGTTTTGGTGCTCCTCAGTATACTCTTTCTTGGTTATATACTTGCTGATTCTCTCACATACTAACACAGAACAGTGACATCTGAGGCACATGTAGTGAGAGAGCATGCACACCCTAATTTACTACCGCTGTGTTATTGCTGTGCTAAAGGGGCTCCCAGTTGATTGAAAGGACAACAGAAGCTAATGGGGCCACAATCTTGGCCACCAACCTCCATATCTATTTTAGAAAATGTTCTAGGAAGGGTTGCATTGGCATTTGATTATTTCAGATAGAAATACTTTATGCCATTATATAGTATATTGAATGTTGCATCATTAATAAATACTTGGTTGAGATCCTTATTACTGTGGTAGTAATATAGAGATTTTTCTCTAAAACATAATGTGCACATGAAAGGTATACTTTTATATTATACCAACTTCAAACTTTAAAATTAAATTTTATTTCCAGGGAAATCAGGAGATGCCTTTGTGAATTCACTATAATTTGATAGCAATTTGGATTTTTGTTCAGAAAGTAGAAAAGCTTTATATCCAAAAGTTCAATTTATGTAATTTAAGAAAGTTTATATACTTTCTCTTTTATCATGGGAAGCAGTATGATTTGAAATTTTTAAACAATGTAAAAATATTTCTAAATATTTTTGCAGATTTCCTTTTTTATTTAAAGTGAGAATAATCTCCATTAATTTATGAGACTGTTATTCATCATCATTGTTATTAAGGTATCATTTATTCTGTCATGAAATATTTATTTAGTATGGGTTTACACTTCAGAGAGTATACAAATAAGGTCTCTGACCTCATAAAGTTTACATGGGAGAGACCGGTCACTAACAAGTAAACAAATGAATAAACAAGATAATTACAGATAGCTATAAATTATGTGAAGGAAATAGAGTTATTCAGATAGGTTACTTTGGTGGGAAGTTAAGTGAGGCTACTCTAAGGAAACAACAATTATGTTGTTTCCTGAAGTATAAGAGCAGGCATGCGGCAAATACCTGAGGTGAGAATATTTCAAGTTCAAAGAATATTGCAACCTCAAAGAATTCAAAGC